GCTAAGTGCTGAAAATATCCACGATATGGAGCTTAATATCGATATTTACAACATTAAATTATACAATACATCTGATAAACCTGAAGAAACATTTTTATTTTGAACATGGTCAATCCGTCATGTGGACATTCCCATACTGACCAGCGAATGACCATTACCTTCTGATGACTTCATTGTGATCATGGTGGTTCTACGACCCAGTACCAATTCAAATAAAACCAATCTGAACTTTCTACCCAATAAACAGTAAAATATAAAATTAACTGCTGAATTTAGCATGATGACTAGGATGGTGATATGATGCACGTGAAAACATGCCAAGGTACATCTCGATTTCCATAACGTAGAATGTAAAATATTGTAGGCAAACACAAAACTCTGACAACCAAACAGTATAAACGTTATCGCAAATATTGTTGCTGTAAGTGTGTGTCTGTCTGCTTGGCGAACAGCATTGATTCTTAGTATCGACTTATGCCTGGTTCGTAATAGATGTAAAAGTTGTATATGAAATACAGTAAGTACTATTAGTGGTACGATAATCTCAATCACTAAGCTGATATAGCCCAGATAAATCATTATGTACATCGAATTAGTAGTCAGTGAGGTGGAATGGGAATTTAACCAGGTTCTGTTCCAGGAACCATCATGGTACAGTTGAGGTTTGTATTCGAAAAATCTCGGGGCGTTATATACAAATGCCCAGACTAACACAATAAGGGAAATTTTCCGAGCGCGGTTATACGTCCATTTTGATATGGCATGAAAAGGTTTGGAAACAGCTAAATAACGTTCTAAGGCAAGAACCACAACCATGTATATAGAACCTGTATGAGCGACAGCTGATAATGGATATACCATAAATAAAGCAGCTAATAAGATATGATCCCAAAAACTACACATATCCATAATCCACGGAATGGCATATATAAGCACTTGTAGAAATAACAGAATTGTATCATAAATAGCGAGACATCGTAAGAAGAATGAGGTTGTTGAATTGAGCCTTGCTTGAGATAGCACAACTATGGATATAAAATTTCCCAGTATTCCAAATGAGGCTATGACACATCCGACAATCCCATAATCCGTCTCGAAGTCATAATAGGCACTTAATGTCGGACAATCATATGAGGAATCCTCGTAATCCGATAAATTGTCATCCATTTTCAATCTGTTGTTGTTTATCATCCTATAAACTGTGGAATTAAAAACTGAAACGTTGTTATTAAAAACATGAGGAAGTCTAACCGGAGGTGAACTAGACGAATCAATGATAAAAGTTTATAAACACTCGATTCTGTCAATAAAACTCTCCAACTTTTATACCAAAAATACTCCTAATAATCTTTTTATCTATCACAGACACTCTCTCCAAAAATAACCGTGCACTAATATCCAGCTATTGTTGAAATGTTGTTTTCACTTTGTTAGTTTCAAGGTTGAGATGAAAATGATTATCGGAATAAATCTTCCAATGATATTTTTCTTCACAGATAGTGGAATATTTTGATATTACTTCCTACACAAACAGGTAGAAGAAGGTTCTCCAATAAAAACGTGACGTATGCAGACCATACACTAATATGGAGTCGCCTAGATGTTAACTGATTGTAATAGTGTCTGATCTCTGATTCAGCTTGTAATACTGATATCTGAAAATATAAAAAAGAAAATAAAACTAACAGTATTTCAAACTATATGAACAATGAAATGGGAAATATGACTAAAAACTGAAATAATTTTGTTTGGAGGTCTCTAGTTTCTGTTTCAAACTATCACAGACTACTTAACAGATTGTACAATCCAACAACTACCTAGTTTGCGATATCAGCATCCACTGGAAGCGAACGTTAACTTGCCATCTACCAACCAACCAGATTGTACAATTATTTTATTTTCGACCACTAGTACTGGGTTAAAGAGCATGCCGAGACGGAATCTATAGCCTTCTTGTCTTTACATGTGATTCCATTATCATAAGATATCTCCTGCTTCGATATCTGTCCTTTAGGTTTTTTTTGAAGATCAAAACCCTAAAAAACACAGTTTTCCATATAATTAATTTTGTGGTTAATGCATGTACAATTAAAAGTTTTTCTTTTTGTTTTAGTGAGTGAAAACCGGTCAGAATCTATATGTTGTTTAAGTCAACTTCCATCGACCAATAAAGTTATTTTTGATTTGGTCCTATCCAGAACTAATAAAACGTTCAAAGACAAATAATTTCAATAAAGGTTGAAGAATGAGCTGAAGTATGTGAAGGGCAGTATATAATCTAATAAATAAGCCTTAAATACCCAATAAACGTCACTTTTAAATCATCAAATTAAAGCATTTCTATTTTTAACTTATATCGACATGATCAGATAAAGCCAGACCAAAGAGATGAGAATTATTGCTCATCCATTTCTTAGAAGTTTCATGATTTAATATAAGTTTATATCAATGAAATTATTCACACAAATTTCAATTTAAGATGAAAACCGAAAGACGAGTTTTTTATATTATATTTTAATTTTACTGTGATCTAAACGGTAGCACACTTAAAAAATCTGAAAATCAAACTGATTCTGTACCGAATCAATGATTGATAACCAATTTATAGTTGGTCCTATGTCAAAATGCAAAACGAGTGGTGGAGACAGTCTCCTAGAAGTAGGGGTACAAATTTGACTGACCGAATGAGGGGAACACCTGATGAGACCGTGAAGGATCTCCACAGAATTGGAATTTATCGCCACTGAGCAAAAGATCATAATATAATTATAATAAGATAATAAATTTAAGAAAAAAAAAGACGAAATGTCAGTAGATCATCACCGAAAACTGTTTGGACATTTCCTGCACTTTTATTGCCTTTAAGTATCATCAGAGCATCCAACAAAAACCCGTTAAAACGGAAAAATTCCAAATTGCCTGTTTAATGAAATTACTGCTGTCAGTAAGGCTATCATTTAACAGAATATTTTTAAGCCCCGAAATGGCACATTTTCTACAAACCATTGATCGGAGGCAACACAAATTAGATCTGGAAGTTATGGTGGTAAGCTAATTTCTTGTAAGACTAATTCCCTCCAGGCATTTTGTCGAAATGTCACCATTTTTTATGTAGAACATCGGCATTCAAATCACAAAATCAATTTTGAATCGATAGGTTGGTTTCAACTACCACAGCAACTGCTATCAACTCCCTTAGAACGCTACTTAGATCTCAGATTGCAAACCTTGGTCCGATGCTGTTTTGGAATTTTTGAACCGTTGTTAGTGAGGACCAATGTGCAAGATTACCGAATCATAAAAAAATTGAAGAATGTGGAACAAGTTCAAACACATGGGCCGAGGAAATTATCTCTAGAATTTATAACGTATATAACGATATCCGGATCAGCAGAGTATAATCAAAAGGGGCATGTGAAAAATTTGATCCGGCTTTATTCTGTATAACGTTTATGTATCATATCAATATTGCACAGAAATATCATTCGATGGCAAAGCTTTGATTACATCTATCTGGTTTTTGTTTGTATCTCTCTTAGATTTGCATAATTCAGAAAACCATTTAATTCCGCTAATATGTTTTATTGCAGCTTGTAATGGATTTCGCCAGTTTTTATTCAGGATGATAATTACATTTCATGAATAGTGAAACCACTAGTACAGCTTTGAATTATCCAATTTGATATTTTTTGCATTATTCTAGCAAAAGAGATTAAATTAAAGGCAGCTATCGGATCTTATTACGTTACAGCATGTGATATGCAATTAATATCATGCAAGTTCTTTATTCGTCTTATGATTTGATTTCCACTTGATGCACTTAAAATGAAAATAACCCTGTTAAAGTGCATAAGTACATATAAAAATAATAATAATAAATGTAAGAAAATAAAAGTGTTCTTTCTGGTTTGTACCAAATTCTCTGAAATATGGAACAGAAAAAATGACAATACTTCCATGAACAACACACGTAACTTTGTTTCCTTGGACATTCAATATTAGATAACGACAAACCAGCCTAGTGGTTTATTGAATCACTTTCGATCTTCCTATTTGCTGAAGATGTTGTCAGAGAACTTTCGATTGAGAATATGCTTCTACTCTTGTGTAATAATGAAATTTAGTGAAGTCACTTAAGATGTTCTTAAATTAATTTCCTTCTCATTCAAGTATCAAAATGTGATTATTCTTTAAATTTTCTTTGTCTATTTTTGTGTTTCATGCTCTTTGTTTTATAAAATTAAATAAATTTTGACACAACAGATACCTAAATGTTAAGGAACATTAAACATTCACAGATGTTTGGCACTGTAGATTCAGGTTATTGACACATTCGAACGACAAGACTAGATTTTACCAATGCAACTCACACTCATACAAAATCAGGCTGAAATCTCTTAAGGTAATATTTCAGTCTATGCCGGGATAGAACCAACATATCCTCCGAGGTCCTACTTTCATAATTGCATCTTCACTTACATGTTAAAACCCATAATTTTATTTTCATTGCCTGATGATAATCGCAGAATATTTTGATGTCCAGTGAGATAACTGGTGATCATTAAAATACGAACGTACCGTGTCAGTAGTCCTATCACTACGAGAACTACGTGTAACTAGTCTTATCATTAGGGATTAATAATGAGTTTCTCTCAACAACAAGTAATTAGGATTTTATTACAAACCCATTCCTTAACATTTCTTGTCTGAAATGATTAGTTATGGTGCCGATATACTGAACAGATTGCCGCACTTAAATTTTAACAAGTACCAGATCTGGTACGATCGGTCAAAGTCAGAGGTCTGTCTAACTTCCTAGTTATGACAAGAGTTTAGCTTCCGAGTCTTAGCAAGATCATTATCGTGAATGATGCAAACACATTTACTCTTTGGCTGCTTTGCAAAAAGATCAAACGAGAAAAGTAGATACCAAAGAGAATCCATATTTTACATGGATAACGGATTATATTATGCCTTTTTGCTGGGTCATAGCAACATAATTATGCACTAATTAGAGCTTTTTCATTGCAAAAAGTGCAGGCAGTTAAGGGAAATTAAGTGTCAACAAATGCAAAGTAAAATCCTCAATACCACTTTAATAGTTGACAGAGAGCAGTTTTCGTAAGGGAATCCATTTTAAGAGTGATTCAATGAATGTTGCGTTCTGTACGTGTCTTTCACAACTTTTGTGATACGAGAGATTGGGAAAAACTCCATAAATCCATTACTCCATTCATTTAATTCTAATTGGTTGAAGATAAAACCGTTTCAGCATTTACTTTCCTATCAGGTTCTTCTGATAACACATCGATTAGGCTTCCTTTTGGGCATTACATCTTAAATAATCCCAGAAATTCAATTCCCCATCTGAGATTCCTGGATGGAAAAACATTAGTAAATGTCTTACAGCATGATTAATTATTAAGTTTTGTGTTCGAATCAGACTTGACCTTTTTTTAGAGAGACATTAGATGTTTCCCAGCTGTTTGAATTTGAATTAATTTATTTCAGTGAGAATCCGCATTCAGAATCTTGTCTCTGTTTTGAAAAAAAAAACCGATAACGTTTAGTGTTAGTTTGATTAGTATTTAGATCATTTCAAATAAACTGAAGTAAATATCACTAAATAAGTTTGATTTAGCTTCACCACCTAGATCTAGAAGGCTCTAGCTAGAAAAGAAATGAAATGAATAGAGTTTTACTTCCTACTGTTCTGTTGCTCTAGCTAGACGTGCAACCAACCATAGTAGGAGAAGCTGTATTTATAGTAGAAAAGATGTTCTTTCCTGCTTGAATATTTCAAAACTTAACAAGATTCTTGCCATTGCTCCCTTCATTATCAATTATGTATTATAATTTCACATTTTGTAGTTCCCTGGTGCATTTATCAATCACATTTTATTTTAAATAAGCCATTAAGCGTCGGAGGCAGATAATATAGGCTATACAATTGTAAATTAGATCTGAAATGTTTATTTTAAACATTTTCAACCTTTTATGTGTGCTAATGTGACTGTAAATTCGATTATGGTAATGACGTCTTGTGAAAAAATATCAATAGTTACTGGCTAGGTCTATATAATTTCTTAAGATCATTATTATGTCAAACAAAACGTAAACATCCTGCAGTCATCAGCAATCTAAAAAGGTTATTTTCAGAATTGTTA